TGGCACCTAACAACAACATGTGTTCAAAAGTGGAAGGTCAGCTGAGTTTGTTCTGACTCAATAGCTGTGAATATGTATATTTGTTCAGTGTGTTTTCAATTTTGAGGCTATCTAAGAAAAAAAGAAATCCACATCCTAAAATCAATTTTCAGTGAAACAAAATCAGGATGTTTTCTTGCCCACTGAGGCATTTATTGCCTCACAGGTTTCCCTCATAAGCCAGGCTTTTCTCCACCACAGTCGGTACCTAAGTTAAAGGGCATATTGCTCAAACCAAACAAAGGAATGTAGAAATCATGGCTAGACACATTTGAGCTGTGTCATGCCTGAGATAGAAGTTACCCTTTTAAGCAAGTCATAGGTACATTGTGATGGGGGGAATAAAAGAAGGTCCTTAAACCCAGGAACTTCCTCTGCCATTCCAGTTCACCTGAGACTTTTATTCAGAGGATCCTAGGAATGTAGGTAGTTGAAGAAACAGGGGCTGGGGAAAACCAAGTTCTCCTGCACCCCATTTAAACAATTAAATTGGAGGTTCTAACATACTAGTTTTTTCCTGTACAGATGGACAACCTCAGTACCTGATAGAGGGGTGCTATGAGTCAGATAAATTCAATGGCAGTGGATTTTTTTTCCTTTTTCTTTTGTTAGGACCTAAGCATCGTATCAGTCTTGCTAAATTCACAAATTTCAGCTCTGTAGTAACGCCTTCAGAGAGCTCTGGTGGCCTAGTGGTAAGGAGCTGCACTGCCAACTTGAAGGCTCAGTATTCAAATCCTCCAGTTGCTCTGCAGGAGGAATGTGGGTAATCACCTCCTGCCCAATTCACTGCTCTGAAAACCCGCTGGAGGGTCAGCTATTGGCTGGTTCCAACTGGATGGCACAGCAACAATAACCTCCTCACCATAACCGAAATCTGGACACTCAGGACACCTATCAAGACTCAAGCTAGAAAAGCCAAGTGGCAGATGAAAAGTAAAGCCTGTTCGCAAAACCCAACTTAACAGAAAGAAATGAACTTTGTTCTATACCTGGGAGGGTAGCTCTCTGAGTTATGAAACAGAAAAGCTGTGTCTAAGATCAAGGCCATGGAAGGTTTCCAAATTAGCCTAAGTGAGAGTTTAAGGACACGGAGAACTGTTAAGACAGAAAAAACCTTCCTAGCTGAAATTTCACTTTGCTTGGGAAGCGACAGCCATTTCAGCAACTGGACATTTCTTGCAAGCAAATGACCAATTCAAGTGTAAGGACTATATGGCAAGGAAAGAAGAGTGGGCTGGTTCTGTAGCTTGAAAGATATTTATGAAACAGATCAACCATTTACAATCTACGGCCCTCATTGTCCCTTAAAAGGGGGGGGTCGAATGCTGACTTGATATTGAAGTTATTTGTGTGATGTTATGTTCTATCAAACCAGAACTGGCGCATTAGCGGACCCTCCAGTGGGTTTCAAAGTCAAAGTCATAAGACAGGCAATTATCCATCTTTGTCCCACAAAGGAGTTGATGGATTAGCTGCTTGTCTTTGAGTTGACAGTGCAGCTCCTTACCACTAAATCAAGTTTTTTGGCATGCAAATTCATTTATTTTATCCAGAATAGGCAAAATGATACCTAAGACTGCTTAGATCTAATCCAGTGGAGCTGGGAGGGCAGAAATGAGATGACTTTGGAATGGGATTTGCTCTTCTGCTCACTGGGAGGGTGCAAAGGTTTCCCATCTCCTTCTAGGAAAGGGGATTTGCTGCCTGTCACACCCTGTGCCGGTGGCCTCTTCCCCTCCAGAAAGGTTTGTCCTCTCTTCACTGTCACACAAGAGCAGAAACTCTTGGTCTGGTTGTGTGTCCGCATGCTTGCCCACTAGAGAGGCTGCTGCTGTTCCTCGGAGGACCCTGTGGATTACTGGGAAGCAAACTCCATCATTCAAAGGGAAGAATGTTTACCAGCATTAAGACATTCCTAAAACCACTGCCCACGGGTATCAACATGCCAACGAGCCTCTCAGCTAAGCTCAAGTCGCTGCTTCTGAAATTGGTGCCTTTGTCACCAGGTGGTAGAGCAGCTGTAGACAATGGTTGTGCAAAGGGCTAGACCAGGGGACAGCCATCATCACAAAGTGAAGGCAGTTGCTCCGGAGGATTTTAGAAGGGCTCCATTCTTGTGCTACTGGAGTGGTAACTAAAGACAACAGGATTTCTAATTGGCTGAAAGATCAGCAGGAGTGTTAAAAGTGGGTTATCTAAAAGTGAGATATGGCAAGAATAGGAGCATAACACATAGTAGGGTTATATACTTGGACAAAGGTGCAGGTCACTCAGTTTACTACAGGACAGACTCAGTGACAAGACAGGTTCTTGTGGCTACCTATTAGTAAAATTGCTTCCTCAGTCCTGACTGTTTCAGGGACTCCTTTGTCAAGATATGCTGATAATGCTGTGCATCAAGACCCTGGGGCACAAGCTATCACACTGTGCATTTGTTTGCCAATGAGATGAGATGAGAAAGACTCATTGGGAGTAGATTGTGACAGCCTTTGTCTACCAAACTTCAGTGTAAAGTTATGTCATCCTTAGGGTAACATCATGGTTAACAGAATTGCTCTGTGGAAAGGCAGCTTTTAAACAGCCCAACATGGGTCCTGCCATTTTATGACTTTAAAATGCAGTTAAGGCTCTCCTTTCAGACCACTTTATTTGCACATATATCAATCAGACTCTTATACATGTACATCAAGCATTTTTTTTTCAAGTACTTTCTTATAGACTCATATAAGTGAGGCTATAAAAGAGGCTTTCCACCAACATCGAACACTTGATTTCACCATGATAATGTCTGGGCCGTCTGGTTGATGGTAAGCTGAAGAGTGAATCCCAATAGACAGAATAGATGGAAAGCAGTAGCAGTCCCCAGGAGGCTGCAGGTTCTAGAACAGGCTCTGGACCCCCAGGGCAGTATCACTCAGCTTCCTCACTCTTCTAGATTTTCCTTTCTCATAAGCCAGCCCTCACCAGAGAAGGTGTCAGAGTCCAGCCCTGCTTTTGTGTTATGCAGGTGTACACGTTCTAACAGCTCTTACTAGACCCTCTTACAAATGGAATGAAGTTCTCATTATTTGAATCTTTAAAACAACAGAATGAAATTAAAATAATTACGTTAGCTGATATACAGAAACTAGTGACTCAAAAAGAAATCACAAAAACAATGTGATGGGACTTTAATAATTTAAACAGAACCAACTTGAGGAATATTCACGCACATACATACAGTGCAAACAATTTAATTGGACCGTATATATTTAACTACATCAAATTCTTAAATATTAAAAAATTACTCAAAGCCATTGATATAAGATGGAAAGTACAACAGAGCAGTAAAATAGATAAGGTAACTTTTCATTTACCTGTAAGAGAACAGGGTATAAATACAATAGATCTCTATGAGAAGGAAGCGAGGGGAAGTCAGAACACAGGCATTAAAAAATAGAAATAATCTCAGAAAGATATAGATAACTAACAGTTTCTTTGGTCCTCTAAGTCACACTTTACTTATACCAAACATGAACTGAGTGCTTAGAAGTTTACCTCCAAATGTCTACATATTATGCATAATAACATTTAAACTGTGTTAGATTTTAAAAAGAACTCAAAACCCACCAATATTCTACTTTACAAATTCAAAATATAGGAAAAACTAGGAAATATTGGAGATAGGGAAGAATTAACTCCTTCCCCCTCAAAAAATATCCCTTTGCCATCATGCCCCATCATAAGCTATAATGAGCACCGAAGAAACAGAGAAGACAGAACTTCCAAATTTAAACCAATTGAAAGGTAATGGGATACATCTGAAGAGTACTGTATCAACCAAATAAGAGAGAGAACGCGAGAGTATGTGTGCGTGAGTGACAGAGTGTGTGTGTGTGTGTGTGTGTGTGTGTGTGTGTGTGTGTGTGTGTGTGTGTGTGTGTTTTCAGGGGTTGTTTTGTTTTATTTGGCCCACATTGCCCCAGTGAAGGAAATTTTAAGACAATAAGGCAACAGCTTCCTAGACTAAAATACCTATACTGCCTGCACACTGAAGGGAAAACCCACAGGGACCACATGGAAAACCAGCACTGCAGGCATCTAGGCACCTCACAGACACCAATAATCTAGCTTTCATTAAGCAGTGGACAATTATCAAAATGCAGTTCACTCTCCGTTCTCTCATGCTCATGGAAGCTATGGCTCAGCAGGTCCAGAAAATATGGACACCCTCAAAAATGTCTCTAAATACTTAGAAAAATAGTTGATAAGATTAAAAAAAATTGTCTTAAGGCATCTACACAGATCACGCAAAGTAAATACCCACGGAAATTCAAAAACTATGAGGACTGATAACTTGCAATGTTAATACTAAGTCTTAGAAAGCAATGGCTTTTAAAGAAAGGCAAAGGTCTCTAGATGCTAAATTGATATTCTCATCAAGGCACAGAGAGTTATCTAAATTCATGTATGTTGACATAAGAATACACTTGTAAACAACTCCAGGAACCAATTTCCTGTACTTGAGCTAAAAAAGAGAAGGTAGATACGGTGCCTTCTTAACTCACAGTAAAATCCAAAGCACAGAGATATCCCATGACTTTCAACTGGTGACTAATATTGTAACTTGGTATTTTAAAAATAAATGTATTTTTGTGGTTTAGTAATCATTAAAGTGGAATCCGTAGGACTTGAACTCACAGATCCATGTTGCACACTGTATATAAATTATCTGAAGCACTTTCCGTTTTAATAAAAACCAGTGTATTTGCTTTAATTCCCAACACTGCTATGCCTTTGTGTCACATTTGCAGACTATTTCAGCAAGTATTAATTCTTCTCCCTTCCCTGCAACCCTGGGGTTATGAGAATGGCAGTGATTTTGTGCCTGGAATTTATCCTATATTGCAGTTCACTGTAATGTCACCACTGAAAAGTGACAAAAATAAAATAGAGGGCTCACCTCTTTATAAATTACTTTTATCTGACTTGCTATAAATAATGCTTAAACACAGCTAGTGACAAGGAAGAAAGTTCACATATGTAACAATTGAAAACGAACTGTACAAACAACTCAGACCAGACTAACAATGGCACCAGCAGTGGGTCTGCCAAGCGCACGGCATACACCGTAGCTCAGCTCCTAACGAGGGTGAGAAACTCTTCCCGTGTCTTTGGGTCTTCCCGGAACACGCCCAGCATTGTGCTGGTCACAGTTTTGCTGTTCATTTTCTGTACGCCGCGCATCACCATACACATGTGTCTACAAAACAAGACAGCAAAGGTGGATTAAGGGGTAGACAGCCGCTCGTTTGATTTTTAAAACAAAAAATGGACCAAAACATTCATTTCATAGTTATCAAGTGTGTCAAGATGGTATTTATTAGCAAACCTGGATCTAATTCCCCTCCTCCACCTTCTTTTTAAGCTTCTTTGTCTTATTCTTTTCAGTGGTCAAGTATTTCATGCAACGAGCGAAAGAGAAAGAGTGGAATTTTCATCCTGGGTGAAAATGAAGCAAAATATGTATAGAGATTGACAATTTCTATGTAGAAGGAAACCCACTGGATCTACCTTCCGGGCCAAGTCAGTATGATGCTGCAAGTATGCTGGGCTCCCAGGAAGACAGTGACAACAGTGGGTCTCATTAAACTAAAGTTAGAAAACCCAGGACAAAGTCAATGCCATGCTAGCAGGACAGAAATGTTGCCGACTAGGCATGGGCAAGTCTTATAAAATGCATCCCAATTTAAAGAAATTTCCTCACTTGATTCTGAACTCTATTTTTTAAATATGTGAAATATTAAAACTAGCTTTGGAACAATAAAGAGCTAAAGGAAAAAAATCAAGAGGAGACATGCAATGCTACTCATTGTGCAAACTGTAACACCTAAGCTTAGGACTGTCTATGCGGTCACAACCCTCACACCCTAACCCTGCAGTCTCCCTTACCTGGTTCCTACAGACACACCATGAATGAAAGGTAAAAGGACTTGGCACTTAGAGAAAGAAACCCAACAATGATGATGCCAATCGGGCAACATCACCCACTGCTAGAAAAAACAAGCAGCAATAAGCAAAATCTTCCCTCCACCGGTAAGACATTGTTAGAAACAGATATGAACTCACGTTGCTTCAACCACCACTGCGACTCCAGCAGGTCTCAAGGTTTCTGTGATGGCCACAGCAATTTGTTTTGTAAGGCGCTCCTGAACTGTGGATGTGACAGCAAACTCATTGTTAAAGTCTAACAAACAAAACACTAAGCCTACTGTCATCAAATTGACTTTCAGAATAATTGACAGCTGTCCCAAGGGGCTTTCAGTGTTACACCCTTGATGGAAACTCTCCCTAAAGGTGGAGGGTCAGCAAGAGAGAGGAAGATCCTCAATGAGATGGTTTGGCAACAATAGGCTTGAGCATGACAGAGACTGAGGACGGCACAGGATAGGGCAAGGTCCAGATCTGTTTTCCATAGGGTCACTGTGAGTCGTGACTGACTCACTGTCACCTAACAGCTCTTTATGGAAGCACTCCCACATCTTCTTCTGAGGAGTGGCTGGTGGCTTAGAACCACTGACCTTTATTTCCTCTCTCTCACACTGACTCACTGTCACAGAGTCAGAACTGACTCATAGCTGACCCTCTAGCAGGTTTCCATGCCTATAAACTGCAGGGGAGGAAATTTCACATCTTTCTCCCACATTCCCAAACGACACTACCAGGACTCCCTTAGTATATAACAAAGCTTGAAAAACAGCCTTTTGTGACATTTAATACCCCAGATCCATCAGCTTTCATAAGTTTGCTGGGTTGGATGACTGGGCCACAAGGAAATCCCAGCCTAGGTCCTCACCTTTTTCATTCAAATGCAATGCAAGTGCTAGAGACACCTCAGCCTAATTAAACCAACTCAAAGCACAGCCATACAATGGAATGTCAACACTCATCAAATTGAGTAAAGTAGTTTTTATGAAAAAAAGACTTTAAGATTTTTAATTTAATTTTATTTTATTATTTTTGTGTGTGTACCGTCAAATCAGATCTGACAGGTACAGGAGGAGATTGCCCCTCCTTCTCCAGCAGAGCATCTGGTGGCTTTGAACAGAAGACTAAGATTTTTAAAGTGGAAAAAAATATAAGGAAAAGAGAGTCTGTAATCCAGAATGTATAATGTGGATCCATTTGTGTTTAAATATAATAAAAAAATTAATTTTTAAATACTGGTATATGCATAAAAATGTTGAAAAGTGCAAATTAAGCCAATTTAGAGGCTTTCACACACAAAAGACTGTTTCATATTGTTCTTATTTTCAATTTAAGGCATTCATGTAAAACAGGTTTTCTATAAAAATGTTTTTCTGAAGGAAAAAGATTTTGAAAGTTTACCTTGCAATCTTCTACTATAGATTTCCACAATCCTAGAAAATAAAAAGTTTTTAATTTTATGATTAAACAATTTAACCATAAACTGTTGAAAGTGAATCCTGTGAGACTACTAGTTATTATGATTAGTATGATTAATCCCAAAAATAAAAATAATCTGACCTCCATTTATAATAACATCTGACATGGAACAAGTTTTCCTCTTTGAGAATTCTCATTACTATTCAAAATGTCAAAATGGCCATGAGAATTACCCATCTGAGGGTGACAATTCCCATTTCACTGGCAAGGAATCTTATACTACCAAGGTAATGGGGATATTGTCTTTAAAAATTGGCCTTAAAAGTCATAAATTTTTAAAAAATCATAATTTAATTTAGGGATCATCTCCCCAGTGAGATTTTCTGGCTCTTCCCTCCACTATGCCCCTCTGATAAAATGGAATCTGCTCCTTCGTATCTATTACAGCTAATAAAGTGAAGGCAAAGTGCACCAACCTCTTTACCACTCAACCACGAACTCCCTGAAGGTGGAGCCAGCCTGAATCTTGTTGTATCCCTAGGTGTTATATAATAAAATAATGGAGGACTACAACTACCTTCCCCCCTCATTTTGAGTGCAAAACAAAGAAGAGAGGTGAGGATGGGATGAGAGGGGTGTTAATCATAGGGTCCGACAATTTGGTGGAGGAGGAGGAACAAAATGGGAAAGATATGGTGAGAACAATGCATTTGAACTAAGTAAATAAACATGTATCTTTAAAAAAAAAAAAAGCCAAAAACCCATAGGTATTTTGGTTTTCAAGCTTTTACTGTATACCTTATTTCTAATCGTTTTCAAAGTTGTTTATTGTGTACTGTAGAGTTGGAACCAACTCATAGGTTTTCAGAGGTAGTTAATGACATGGGATGAGGTTGTCTTTCTCCCACGGAGCAGCTGGTGGCCTTGAACCATGGGCCTTCAAGATTGCAGTGCAGCTTCTTGCCAGTAGGCCACAATGTATGCTGTGAAAGAGGCCCTCTTTCTTACTGTTAGCTGTCTGTCATCAAGTCATCCTCTAACTCATGGCAACTCCAAGAACAAGACGATAATTGTGATCCAAAGAGTTAGTGGATAATTTTGGGGAATTCACCAGACTTTTCTTCCTACTCTCAGTCAAGATGCTCTACTGAAACTTGTCTGGCATCACAGTAACATGCATGCCTCCACTGAGAGTTAAAAGATGGCTACACTTGAGGCGTTTTGACTGGGAATCAATCGTGGGTCTCTCAAATGGGAGAAAATTCTGCCCCAGAACCCGCCACGAGGCAGGTGGCATAATTTTTTTAAAAAGTAGTAACGGTTTTGCTTCTGGTATTTCTTTTTTGATAAAAAAAGTTCTCCTTGATAAGATATGTGATATGTGATAACCGTGAGAATACTGAGCACCCCTGTTTTGAGTCAGAGTTTACAAGAATAGCTATAATATTTTACCATTACCACCGTACCTGCCTACTGGCAGAGGAGGGTCAATAATGCATATTTTACTGAGGGTCTACTATGGTCTTTAAACTCATATTGTTGTTCTTATGTGCTGTCAAGTCACCTGTGATTCATAGAGACCCTATGTACTACAGCCCTAAACCCTGCTCTATCCTGAGCCAATCTTATTGTCTCTGACACACCTACCCCCATTATCCCAGTCAATGAATCCATCTCATCGAGGGTCTTCCCTCTCTTGCGCTGTCCCTCTACCCTCCCAAGCATGACATCTTTCTCCAAGGAATAGTCCCCTCTTGCAACACATCCAAAGTATGTCAGATTAAGCTTCGGAGTCCTTGCCTCCAAGGAGTAGCCTGGTCTCACCCTCTGTAGGATGAACCCATTTTTTTTTTCTGCTGCCAGTTCATGGTGTAGTCAATAATCTTCTCCAACAACACAGCACAAAGGCATCAATTCTCTTCTATCATCCCTAGTCATTTCTGATGCACAGCAAGTAATTGCAAAGACTGTGGCCTGGATCAGGCACACCTCAGTCTCTTGACTGACATCATTGATGTTCAGTACTTTGGCGAGGTCTCTTACAACAGACTTTCCCAATGCAATTCATCTTTTGATTTCCTGGCTGCTGGTACCAAGAGTGTTGATTGTGGAGCCAAGCAAACTAAAGCTGTTAATAATCTCAATCTCTTCACCATCTATCATGATGCTTCCAATCAGCTCAGAGATGAGAATCTTTGTTTTCTTGATATTGAGCTTCAATCCATATTGAAGGCTGCAGTCCTTGACCTTTTGCAGCAAGCGCTTCAGGTCCTCCTCAGTTTCACAAAGCATGATTGTGTCATCTGCATAATGCAAATTGTTGATGAGTCTTCCTCCAATCCTGATGCCACATTTCTCCTCATCTGTTCTGTATAGATTGAAAATGTATGGAGATAGAACACATCCCTGGTGTACACCCTTAAACTCATAGAATTATAACTTCTTATTTTTAGTTTTCTTTTTTCTAGTTAGACAAATAAGTATTGAACTTACATCTTTTCTACTTTGGAAGTAATCACATGTTGTTGCTAGGTGCCACAGATCAACTCCAACTCGTAGAAAGCCTGCAGCAGTGTCACTGTGTTAAGGTCATTTGCTGCATTCACTGTGTCAATCAAACCCACTGAGAGTCTTCCTCTTTTTCTCTGGACTCCACCTTTACCAAGCAGGCTGTCTTTCTCTGAGAACTGTCCTCTCCTGATAGTGTGCCCAAAATAGATGAAGTCTCATCAACTTCACTTCGAAGGAACATTCTTAGTTACATTTCTTTTAAGACAGATTTGTTTAGGGTTTTGTGCTTTCTTGTCATACCTTGGGTGAGATGCACCTTAGTCTGTAGTTGACAATTTAACTGAAGGTTTAATGGAATCAAGGCATTGAACTGGTTCATTCTAATTCAGCCCCTTGCTGGAAATTTGCATTTCCACTCCACATATACTAAATCCATATTTAATAAGATAGATTGTTTCAGTATACCAAGGGTGGCAATTGTTTTAAAGTACTGTCAAGTATGACTTAAAGCAAACCTATGAACAGTAGATTTGAACCTTGTCCTATCCTGTGTCACCTCATTTCTGACCTGTGTCAATCCATCTGGCTGAGGACCTTCTTCCTCTCACCAACCCTCCATTCTAAGCAGGACATCCCTCTCCAAGGAACAACCTCTCCTAGCTACATGCACAAAGGATGGAAGATAAAACTTGGTCATCTTTGCCTCCAAGGGGCTATATTTGGCTATATTTTCTCCCAGACAGTTGTTTGTCCCTTTGGCATTCCATGGGACATTCAACGCTCTTCTCCATTACCACAAGTCATCTTTAGTCACTGTCCAGTTGACAGATGCATACCAAAGTCCTCACACTGACATCACAGCTCTTCAGTATTTTAGAGAGGTCCCTGACCGTAGACTTTCCCAGCTCAATATGTATCCTGATCTTCTGACTGCTAGTACCATGTGAGTTGACTATGGATCTAAGTAAAATGAAGTCATTGACCTTTTCAGTCTTTTCTCCATCTATCATAATGTTGCCTATAGGCCTGGTGGTGAGAAATTTTGTTTTCTTGACATTTTGTTGAGGTGTTTGATCTTCTAGTCTTTGATCTTCTGCAGCACAACAAGCATGTAACGCAAGTTGTTGATGTGTCTTCCTCAGATTATGATGCCAAATTCTTCATAGACTCTAGCTTCTTGAATTATCTGCTCAGCATAAAGATTAAGTATGGAGAGAGGATACAACCCTGGAGCACATCATTCCTGGTTTTAAACAACGTAGTGTATCTAGGCTAGAAATGCAAGTTATTACCAAAGAGTTGAAACAGAATAAACCTGTTTAGATCCATGAAAGGAGCAGAATACTTCTGGGTGATGTGTTTTGAGCCAATGTGATTTTTATCAGAAAGACCTCGGGTGTTAGACCAAAGTTTGAAGAGTATTGCATGACAATACTTTTAAGACTTGCATTCCAATCAGCCCAGTTGGTCTAGATTTGTTCTTTCCTTTTCAATGATTTGAGGTTCTGTTTTATATCCCTGCTCCCAATTCTATCACAGTCTTTCCTTTGTGGCCTTTAATAGAACACAACGGTAATGACAACTGGGCACCATCTAGTTCTTCTAGTCTCAGGGCACATGTAGATTATTTGCCCTGACTTGTTTCTGCTTACTTTGGTTTCTTTCTCCTTTGATCTAGATGAGCAGAAACCAATAGCTCTATCTTTGCCATCTGTAAGCTTCTAAGATTCAGACAAAACCCATCAAACCACAATACTTGCTTGATTATTCTTTTTGTCTTTATTTTTTAAAGAAACCTAATTCTTGTGTTCCTTATTTAATAATGAAAGTCTTGTTGGGTTGTTGGTATTTTGATTTGTTTTGGCAGGGGTCTCAAAACGCAAACTGTCCTTATCTGTATCAAAGACTGATTGAATGTAGTTGTGCATTAAATACTAAGAAACCACTAAAGGGAACATGGACATTTATTTCACAGTGTATTTAAAAAAATAAATAAAAAGCACCTCACAGTGCAGAACATAGAGAGAGATCATCCATTATGTTACTGTAAGTCAGAATCAACTCAGCACACAACATGGGAATTTCTCGCCTCATGTAGAATTTGGTTTATTACTCCATCTGTGGACCTCATTAATCCTGTCCATGGCAGTTATCAATCCTCCTAAGAGGGAGCTCCCAACCAGGCATTTCTGTGGAAATTACTCACCACCTGTACTGTCAGTCCCTTTAAATGTAGTGACTATATATGACTTCTCTGGAAGTGACACAGGAGCTGACACTGGGCCCTTACACAGCAGCTACTCAGCAAAAAGATTAACTGTGGCTACTTAGAGGCTGTAAAATTCTAAGTTCAAGATTTAATTACGTTCATGCCACTACTCTAAGGCAACCCCCCTCCAAAAAAAAATACCAAAAACCCACAACCATAATACTTGGTAAATAGATTTTCAGCAACAAAAGAATTCCTTTCAAGATAAGTTTACTCTAGAATTCTACCATGTTGAACCTAATCAACTCACTTCTGGCATTTTCTTGTTACTTAAGGCTCTATTATTTGATATTTGACTTTACTGGCACTGAAAGGTCATTCGTTTAAAGTCAAGAATATAGCAAACTTCACACACCAGATTAAAATGAACAGTGAAGTTTGGTCAAGATGCTCAACTTTGTCTTTTATCCTTCATTCCCTGAATATTCTTTCTTCTTACAAGGAATAAGCAGCTCATTTAAGTAACTGACATACACCCAGTTCTTTGGTTAAGTCCTCCATTTTTTTAAAAAAGCTTTAATCCTATTAGTGGGAGGACAAATCCCTAGCCCAATAATCAGTTTCTTTGTATTGTTTCACAAAAGCATGATTATTTGAGTTATTTTCTCTAACCTACTCAAAATTATTATTATTCCCATCATGATCTCACCGGATCCCTCTATAATCCACTTCCCATAAAATGTTATCCATTGCGACATCTGATCCTGCACAGATGACCCAGTGTGTGGAATTATAGAGGGATCCCTCAAGCCGCTGCTGCTGCCACCACCTCTTCCTGGGGTATCCAAAGGCCAACTGGCCTCATCTAATCTGGATGGGAGTGGCTTGTTTGTTCTGGCCCTCCCTTAGTTCTGGGGCAGCTAGACCAAGGATAGGAGCAAGCATCTTGCCAAGCCCTTTGCTCTAGTTTCTCTTTGGTCTATAGGCTCTTCTCCCAACCTGCTTTGCTCAGGGGCTGGGACTTGGGGATGGTGTATGTCACCTTCTGGCTGCTTAGTAAACATTCAGAGAAAAAAAAATGTTATCCATTGCATTCACAGCATGGTCTTCTACCAACCAACAAAAACCCTAAAGTAGTTTCTGTGTCATCTGACTCATGGTGACTCACGGAAGTGAAAGTAGAACTGTGCTCCATAGGGTTTTCAGAGTCTAGTTACAGTTTCTTCCCAAATACCTCTGTAGTTTCAAATTGCCATGCTTTTAATTTGCAACTGAGGACCTTACAATTTGTGCCATTAAAGAACTTCATGGTCTTTTGTTGTTTTTGTTGCTAAGTGCCCTTAAGTCATAACTCATCGCTGACCCCTCCAGTAGGTTATTAAAGGCAATAAATCTCACAGGAAGAGTGTTCATCTTTCTCCCTCAGAGACACTGGTGGATTTGAACTGTTAGCTTTTGGTTGACAGTGCAACTCTTTGCCCACTAGATCAGCCAAGCTCCTTCTAAGGTCTTCTAGAGAACTCCATTTGCATCAAGACAAACTTGGCCCAGTGGTGAGAATCTTTGTCTTCATGTTGAGCTTCAGTCCATATTGAAGACAAGTTTTTTCATATAATATAGAAATCCAATCTGCCTTTTATATTTGGACAGTCTGTTACAGACATCAGCAGTCCTGGAAAGGCAGGTCCACAATCCTAGAAAAAGGGGCCAGGAGACTGGGCTTAAAGTAGTCTGCACAGCAAGCACACTATTTTTACTTAGACCATATTCTAATGTTGTTGTAGAGCATGACTCATAGTGACCCTATGAACAAAAGGCCTGAAGCCTTTCTATAACATTTATCAAAGTTCATTGAGTTTCCAGAGGCATGCTGTTTAGGAAGTGGATGCCACGTCTGCTTCCAAATATGACAGTAAGAATAATACATTTTAATAAAACCTAACCCAACCTAATGCTGTTGAGTCCAATTCATCAAGACCCTCCACTGGATTTCTGAAGAGACTGCCTATTTTCCCCTATGAAGCAGCTGGTAGATTTGAACCAAAAACGTCTGGGGTTAGCAGTAAACACACTATACACTATACCACCAGCATGATAGATTTTATTATTAATTAGTACCAAATTATTAAGGAAGAATGTGTTAATAGCTTATAATAGGGTTAGTTACTCCTCAACCACTTCTCCCCTCCCCCCAGTCACCCCTTGTAACTATCACAGGATACAGAACAAGAACATGTCATAATAAGAAGAAGAGGGAGGCGGAGATTGAAGCAGGCAACAGAGAGTGACAAGAAAATGACATTTGTGTTTCAAGACCCTGAGATTTTTTTTTTGTCTCCTTAACTACGTGTTAAATAGCAATGTAATTTCCAGATTAAACTTACCTCGCAAGCTTACTGAGGCCCAGGACTTTCTTGTTGGGAAGATAACCAATATGGACCTTCAGAGAACAGAGAAATTATAAGCTAAGTGAAAATATAGAGTTCATCACAATGAAATACATCTTTAAAAATTCTCTAAGCTTTAAGACTTAAAAAATTAAGCACATTATCTAGACATTTTGAAATTACATTAATATAGAAAAAAGGAAATATATTAAAAGACAATCTGAATATTTTCAGGTGCAGTTACGTTGGATACAAATCTGAAAGTCTTTCCTCTATTCTTGTTGTGTGCTGTCAAGTCAGAAGCGATGCATAGCTGACCCTCTAGCAGCTTTTAAGAGGCTGTAAATTGCACAAGAAGAGATACCCATCTTTCTCCTGCTGAGATGATGGATTTGAAAGGCCTGCCTTTGAGTTGCAGTACAGATCCTTAGCCACTAGACCATGATTCTTAAGAAAATGAAAATGATCCTGCAGCAACATTAAAATATATCCAGGAGAGCCTCCATGAAGGACAAAAACATTGCCATTTCACCCACCAAAAAGGCCTTAAAAGCCCCACCACAAAGCTGTTGTATATAGGGTCCCTATGAGTCGCAGGTAACTCGACAGCACATAACAACCACCACCATCAGTGCTATGCTTTAAAAGTTTGAGAATCCCACCTCATCACACTGCTATCAGCAAGAGAAAATAAACACCTAAAAGTTAATATTCCAAGTTAGAAGTTTTGGAACATTAAAACTTTCCCAAAGCAGCAAGGACTTCTGTCCCATTTGAAATGTTCAACTTACATTCGTGTAAGCAAACCAATTTTTAACAATAATGTAAAATAGAATAGGAATGCTTGTATGAAATACAATGCAAGTAAATGATTGTATAAAACACAATGTACAACAGTGAACTCTTAGTGACTCATACATAGGGTCGCTATAAGTCACAAGCAACGACAGCACTGAATGAAACATAATGTAAAGAAATTATTACATGAAAATAAAAAAAGAGCAGATATTGATTTTAACAAAGCAAATTCATTAAATGGAGAAATTACTTCCTCTTTAGCAAGTGGTATTGGTAAAACTGGACTTTTTCTACCTCCAGAAGAGTGAGACAGATCCACATCTTGCCCTATACACAAATACCAACTCAAAATGGGTTAGATTTAAGGGTAAACCAAAATCCCTAGAGGGGGGAAAAATAGAATAAAAAAGGACCTAATCTATGGTTTGCAAACATAGAAAAACACGAAGGAGATCCTAGAAAAATGCCTAGAAAGATGCCTGTGTGCATCAAAACCCTAATCTAACTGGAGTGCATTATGCTAAGTGAACTAACTCAGTCCTATAGGGACAAATATTGTATAAGACCATTTATGTAGTACTAGTATGAGGCTCTCAGGGGGTGGGGGTGGGGAGGGGAGATGCAGAAGGGTGAGGATATGCCGGGATGGGAGACTGTTAAACACAAGTCTCACAATTTGATGGGTGGAGGAAGAGGTGGGTTAAAAAAGTGAGAAAGATCCAGTGTGAAAAACAATGTATATGAACTTGGTAAGTAAAACAGTAGAAAATAATTTTGTATTAAATAAACCACTTAGAAAGTGGTTAAAGATTCATCTCACACTTTGAGCATGTTTCTAGGAGACGCTATTTCTTAGACAGGAACATCATGCTTGGGAGGCAGGGAGATGGCAAAAAAAGAGAGACTCTCAACCAGGTGGATTGGCAGACTGCAGCAATGGGCTCAAGTAGGTCAGGGATTATGAGGATGGCACAGGACAGGGTTCAGACTTGACCTGATGGCACCTTTCAAAAAGACGTAAGGTCCCGTGGCACCATCAGTTAATGTGCGGAATTTATAAAGAAACTGAATATGAGTATATGCTATGATTCTGTTATTCTCTTCCTCAGTACATCCTAATACATGCATCTGTACACCGATATAATACTTGTATTAGTATCATCAGAAATAGTACAAAGACAAAACTATGAGATATCATCTCATCCCAGTAACAAGAGCAAAATTTAACAGAATAACAAACCACAAATGCTGGCAAGGTTGTGGAGAAACTTGAACCCTTATTCACTGTTCGTGGGAGTATAAAATGGTGCAACCACTATAGAAGGCAGTATGGTGCTTTCTCAAAAAGTTGTAAATAGAAATACCATTTGACCTAGCAATTCCGCTACTGGGAATATACCCTAAAGAGACCATAACTGCCACCCAAACAGATATATGCACACCCATGTTTACTGCTGCTTTGTTCACAATAGCAAAGAGTGGGGAAACAACCCATCAACAAACGAATGGCTAGAGAAGCTGTGGTATGTTCACACAATGGAATACTATGCTGCATTGAAAAACAAGGAACTCTGTAAATGTTCATTAAAACTAAAATTTAATAATAATTTAAAAAAGAAAAGAAAAACAAGGAACTCATGTATAGAAAGTGGGTGACCCTGGAGGACACTATACTGAGCAAAATAGCTCAGTCACAAAAGGACAAATATTGCATAGGGCCACTGTTGTAAAATGAGACTAAAATCAAGGTTGAGGGAAGACTGAGAAAGAGGGGATAAATAATGTATACTGCTTGAAACATGAGGGAGATAACTGCTTAAAAGAGATATATGATTAGGTATTATTGTCATTACAGGGCTCCAGAATGAAGGCTGCACAATGGAGTAGACTGGAGGGGAGGGATTGTATAACAGTATTTTTCTTTTACTTTTCAAAGAGAAGAGCAAATTAGGGGGAGAGGTGGGCTGGGAGAAAAGTGCAACAATGAATGAATGGAAGTCCAAAATTTCTGCAGATGTTCATTAAAAGGTGGATTCGAATGTTGCAAACGGTTGTACAACTTACTGAATTGGACATGTAGTAACTTGTATTTCTTCTATGTTTATGCTTAATAAATTGTATTTTTTTTAAAAAGAACACTAATGTCTATGAAGTGCAAAACAGACAAACTATAGAATGCTTATAGTAGAAATACACATAGAAATGACAATTAACAAGCTACAATGACAGGTAATAACAATGAATGACTCTTATAATGTGGAGAAAAATGATATGAAACAAGAGTTATACTGCAAATCCCTTCCACTCACATATAGAAGAAAATACACAAAACTACAGCACTGGTTATCTATACAATACACTGGTTACCTATGTGTATTGCATGAGTTAAGGATTAGGGAGGGGCAACAAAGGGAGTTTCCAGGGCTTCTAATGTTCTAGTTCTTGATCTGTGAGATGACATGGAGCACCTTTATCATTTTTGTGTATTTCTGCTTTATGTCTATAAAAAATTAAATTCAAAGCAAATGTGATACTTAATATTTAATTAATTGATATACAGATGTTCATGATACTAACATTATTCCTAAAATTATGATACTTCAGATATGTGGGTATATTTAAGGTATGCAGATATCAAAGACTTCTATGTCTACATGTTCTGAAAGATGTTTAGAACTTATCTAAAGGTATGCATTGGATTCATTTCTGCCAACACAGAATGGATTCTAAATAGAATAAATCTAATAATATACACCATGTGTCACAAGAAATTCTGCAATTTATTACTGATCCTACCACGTTATATGTAAGTACATCTTGGATCAAACATTTAGCCAAATAAAGCAAAGGTTTTCAGAGCCTGCAGCAACGAACTAAAAAATGTCATGTTAACTTCACTAGTTTAACCTATGAACATGGTATTTAATAAGAAACTCCTACCCAGAGGGCCTTCAGCTTCTTTATTGCTTTTTGCTTTGCTTTCTTTCATTGAAAATAAATATATTTGTCTAACACTAAATATCAAGGATATTCAAAATAGTTATCCTAATTTTTAAAGCTTTCATAACACTGGGCCACAACAACAACAAAAATTCTTACCTTTCCAAAAAATGGAACTAGATGGTGTTCACACATGGAAAACATGTCTATGTCTTTCACAATCACCATCTCATCATGATCTTCATCAAATATAGCATCATTTAGGACATCTGAAAGCAGAGGTTAGCTTTAGTAACATTTCCAACTTTACAGAGTAGAATAAACTAACAGCTAAATATAAGTTCACAGTCAACATAAGAATGTTAATCTTCACTATAATATTATGGGAGTACAAATTAAGACAAGTCATTGTTCCTCTTATCAAGTTAGCAAAGTTCTCCTCTTTAAGTGATGGGGTATGGGTGTGAATCCTCACCATACCGTGTTATATTAAAAATGCATCATTATTATTATTATAAATGGATGAAAGAGTATAATAGATTGGTTTTGCTAAAACGAAATGGTGACTATTACTTTTGGTAGAAATAAGCTTCCATATTCATCTATGTATTTCTTGTACTTAATATTTGAGATGTATAATATATAATTTAGACAACGTTAGAGAAAGGTATTTTGTTCATAGTGTTGCTCGACTTGTCAGCAATAAACAGTAGCAGCAGTATATAATAGATGTATAGGGAAACATATCTGAGGAATAAAGTATAGATTGACTTTTGAGGCCTGATCCCATAACCCACAAACTTGATCTCCCGTAATAATTCCTTAAATAATTTTCTATTTTAATGTTTCCTATTATCATATTCATTTTTTTAATTTCTGTCACTTTCCTCTTTTCCTAAAGGAAATAAATTCTACACTTTTTCCATAAAAGCCTGTCTGAAAGGCTCATAATCAGTAATGTCTTATTTAAGCTATGGATTCTGACATATATAGCCAGACATACAAACAACTAAAAGTTTTTGTCAACAACAAATAGACCCCAATTTTTAAAATGAGCAAGCAGCATGCACAGACATTACCAAGTACAAGTGGTCCAAGAAGCACATAAAAAGATATTCTAAGTCATTAGGAAAATGTAAATCAAAACCACAGTAAAGTATCACTTTATTCCAGGGATCACTATAAGGAGCATTGAGGGCAAAGCAGGCTAAGTGTTAGCTACTAGGCAAAAAGCTAACAGTTCAAGGCAGTCTATTCCCACTAAGATATACAGCCCTGACAAATCCAATGGGACCATTCTAATCTATTCTATAGGGTACTATAAATCAACGTACCAAAAGGAATTGGTCGACATTGAAAAATTCCATTAAGTACCAAATAAACAAGCATCAATTGTAATAAAGGAAGAGGTCAGAGAGCTCTGGTGGCCTAGTGGCACTGCAATTCCAGAGACACACGATTCAAATCCACCAAATGCTCTGCTGGAAAAGGAGCGGCAATCTCCAGTCAGATCCGATTTGATGGTACACAAACACACACAAAGTAATAAAATAAAATAAATTTTAAAAAAATAAAGGACGAGGTCAAGCTGTGTTGAAGGCATTGGCAAAAATAAGACTTTAGGAATTGACAAGATTATCAGTTGACCTGTTTCAACAAACAGATGCAAACCTGGATGGCTGACCAATCCAGAAAATTTAAATAGCAGCTACCTGGCCAACTGATATACAAGAAAACAGTATTTGTTCCCATCCCCAAGAAAGGTGATCTAGCAGAATGTGTAAATTATAAGCAAAATATTGCTGAAGAGCATCCAAAAAATGGCTAATAGTACATTAACAGGGAACTTCCAGAAATTCAAGCAGGGTTTAGTAGAGGCCGTAGCACCAGGGATATCATTGCAGTTATCAAGTGGATCCTGGCTGAAAGCAGAGAATACCAAAACAATGGGGTTGTTTGCACATTGTGAAAAGTATTGTAATGATTTTTGAGTTCCTGATTTCTTTCTTTTTTTTTTTTATGAGTTCCTGATTTCTGTCCTTTTCATACCCAGGAGGAGGGGATTTTCTGGATCATGACAACAATAATGGTAATTCTATGTTCAACTTGTGCCATTTCCAATCTGACCCATTTCTCTATTTCTCCATACCTTCACCAATTTTTCTCATACACACACCCTTTCACAATGTGCAAACAACCCCAAGAAGAGATCAATGGATAAAAAAATGTGGTATATACACACAATTGATTAGTACTCAAACATAAAGATAAATTAAGTTCCAACACATGCTACAACATGTTTGCACCTTGAAAATATGTTGGGTGAAATAAGTCACAGATAAAACAGAACAAATACTCTATGATTCCACGTATAAAGTGCATTGACAAGCACATTGAGACTAAGTTTATCAATAGTTACCAGGGATGGTTGGAGGGAAAAAAGGGATTATTGGTTAAAGGGCACTGATTCTGTATTTACTGGAAAAATATGGAAATGGATAGTCACGATTGTTACAAAACATGGTGAAGGTTAAGTAATGTCACTGAGTTGTACATGACAAAAATAGCTGAAATTTTATACACACACATACCCCTCACAAGTCATTAAATATGACCTTTACTATGCACACCCATGTTTATTGCAGCTTTGTTCACAATAGCAAGGAGTTGGAAACAACCTAAGTGCCCATCAACACACGAATGGCTAGAGAAGCTGTGGTATATTCGCACAATGGAATACTATGCTGCATTGAAAAACAAGGAACTCATGCAATATTATTCAAAATGGTTGACTCTGGAGAACATTATGCTGAGTGAAATGTCCCAGTCACAAAAGGACAAATATTGCATGATGCCACTGTTGTAGAATGGGACTAACCTCGGGGTTGGGGAGAGACTGAGGAAGATGGGTTCAATAATGTATACTGCACTGAAACAGAGGAGGGAGAAAACTGTGTAAAAGAGATATGTGACTAGGTATTTCTGTCATCACAGGAGTCTAGAGCAATGGCTACATGGTGGAGGGGACCTGGGGGAGGGTTTGTAAAACAATGAAAGAATCTTTTCTTTTACTTTTCCATAATTTTTGACTCATGTACTTATAACTTGTTAGTTAAATTTGTGTCTTCTAGGTTGCAACCCCCCCATGATACATCTTCAAGGATATGAACATGTATGGCTAAGCACAATTGATAACAGTGCATCTAAATTCCAAAATCAATCTCCATAATAGTCTATGTGTTTCCTACTGCCAAAGGGGCCCTTTAGAGTAGTGAGAGAAGATCTTCACCCTGAAACCCACAGCGTCCCTTTTCAGCAGGAAGTAGCTAAGAGAATACGCCATCCCTTTTTCCTTATGAATCAGGGTGAAGTCTCTCTCAGGGAGGAGTGATAGGGAATGGCAAAGGACACGCTGCCAAAGGAGATTAATCAGAACTGGCTTTGACAAGCACTGTGGCAATTGGACAATTAAAACAGACATTCGGACGGCAGGGGAAGAAGAACAAACTGGGGAGGAGGGTAGAGAGAATGGTGCAGCAATGAAGGAATGAAAACCCAAAATCCCTGTAAATGTTCATTAAAACTAATAAAATTTAATAATAATAAAAAAAATATGACCTTTACAATGAAAGGAGTTTTGGTTTTTTAAAACTGCGCTGGGATCTGGGCATCTTGGCAGATTGGGTAATTCACATAGCTGTATGATTTCAAAGACTTGGGGGATCCCCAATCCACACAGCAGGAAAGAAAAGGGAGAGAGAAGATGAACTAGAGCTTTGCAGCCACCTCCAGCTGTTTCCCCCTCAGGAAGGCATGCTGTCAAATGAGTCATCAAGACGATGCACAACACCCACCCACACGGCCTGCCCTCTGAGACTCCATCGCTGCTAGAAAACGGACATACGTCTATTGAGTCATCATTTGAACTGCAGTTATCATTTCCTCAATTGAGCTATTCACAGGCAAATTTGACTGTGGTAGAAAAGTCACAGAAGTGAGCATGTGGGGTTTAGACACGCCATAGATACAGCTGGTATGAGTTGCTGGTAAATGCAGGAAGGGAGAAACTCAGAATCATTCTTTTTGCAACTACTGCTTCTCCAAAAGCAGTTTTCTATTTTGGATACTCTGCCCTAACCTTCAAAGTCCACAAATAGACACTTTGGGTTCCCAAAAGAATTCTGGATTTCTCCCAAAAATGTGAATGTGATCTTATGGCATGCATAGGCTACTAAAATCTGAATCACACACAAAAAAATCTTTCTGAAAAATAAAACAAATTAAAATATTTCTTAGTGAAAGAATCTGTCAAATGGAAGCTGTATCTTATTTCTTCTGGCAAACAATGACAGTTCCCTCATCCTCATTCTTGAGGACACTTGACAAGTGATAAACGCCAACTGTTGAGAGAGGTGAAATTAGGATCTGGCTTCACCATTTCTAAGTTTTGACTGTAACAAGACATGAGCATTGTCCGCCAGACAGGGATTAAATTACACAACCCATGAAAGTGTTTAGAATGATACATGGAAGAACAATCACTTGTTTTGGTTTTTTCCTGTTATTTTTAAAACTGGAGAAAATTGCTAAAGGTGTTCTATGCATACTTGAGAGTAGCTGAACTTAAAAAAGCACTAATTTGTTTACTACTCCAATATTTGTACATCCAAGTTTATAGTATATATTACTTTCACACTTTTCTTTAATTCTGAAATCATTTTAGACTTACTACAGACTTACCAATATAGGGTGGAAGACGTGAAGAAGCCAAAGTGCTCCTGAGAGGCAAGGATAGAGAGACTTCGTTTCCTATCCTTTGGGCATATTATCAGAAGGCGTCAGTCCTTGGAAAAAGATCAGTAAAGGAGAGGAAAATCCTCAGTGAGATGGACTGACATAGTAACTACTTAGCACAGCAGAGATTATGAGGATGACTCAGGGTTGGGCAAGGTTCCAATCTTGAACCTCAGTCACTGAGTCACGTCAAATTGCTGATGTCTAACAACTCAGAGTACTAACATACATGATAACATAGTTGAATTTCTAACATATTGCACTAAGTAAAAGAAGCTAAAATACAATGGATTATCTACTGTATGAAATTCTAGGAAGGGCAAATAGAGAAAGAAGATGAAAGGTGACTAATGGGATCCGGCAAGCAGGAAAAGGAGATTGGCTGCAAAACACAGAGACTTGTTCTGGGTGATGGAAAATGGACTATATCTTGATTGTGGTGACTGTGTGTAGGGTGCATTTTATTAAATTAGCC